GGTAACCGCTGTTACTATCGTAACGTCGCCGCTGTTGACTCGCGTTGCCTAGCGACCGCGATATCCCTCGGTGACGTCACCGCGGAGGGGAGTGGCGGGGCGGGAACTCGCCTATTACCGTAAGAACGCGAGTGTTACGTTACCGCCACGTACCGCTGGGGAGGCAGGGGTCAACATGTCACAATATATATATAAATTATTTTCAGTTGTTTTAGTTGATTAATTTGTTAATGGCATTCCATCAGTTGCACTGGTTATGTAGTATTGAATGGGAGGTGGATTATGTACGTTGAGTTTGGATGTGGAAGGATGTGGTCATGCACTATTTTAAGGTGCCATTCTAACATTTATGTGAAGGGACTGAGAAGAACCATCAGCAATCTGTCAGGCTAGCTGTCATTTGGATTGAGAATAAACTTTGAATCTTCCAGAAATTCAGCAGTAATATGTGACATTTTGAGACAGCTTTGTATTGTATGAGATGGCAAAGTGATTACGAATACAAACTGGGAAAGAGAGGAAGGGAAATAATTTTCACCAAATTCAGCCTATTCATGCTGTGATGGACCAAGATTTTGATTAGATCAGATTTAAATGTATTATCTTAACACTTTGAGGACCGGCAATTTAAATATTTAAATCACCCTGGGGACTGGCATTTTTAAACCTACTACCCTAACATGTGCACTGTTCACTTTAAAAATTAATATAAAATCTAATTAATTTTATGAACTAAAATTTTTGGAGAACACTTACCAATGCTCTTAGATGTGCTTGAGAGTGTGAAATTTCTGGAAACATTTCTAAAAATGGACCTGTTGACCAATACTCTTTTAGAGTATCCCTCCTTGTATGCCCCATTAGAAAGATTATTGCAAAAAAATGTTTTCATTTCTGCTTAAGTGACATACACCCACTTCAACTTCTTATAACTTCTGTCATACTCTTCACGGTGTTGGAGATAGTATCTGTTAGTTTCCTGACATAACATGTCAAAGAAACTATCTGCAAAAAACAGTTCTGCTACTTCAGACACTTGCGTTGGGTCCGATGGAATCTGTTTAACCCCCGGATTTCTGGTAAGCTGTCCTAAATTAGGTGTTTTGTCTACTTTTCCCCATGTGGCTGTCCCCGCAATGTTACTACCCGCATTTATGTCAGAGTTACTGTCACTTTTACTGTCTGTGGCCACAATTCTTTGTTGTCCCCTGTCACTGCCACCATCTGAGTCCCTATCACTACACGTCTCACAAGGCACGTCAGATAGCTCATCGGAGGACAAGTCAGATATTTCTTGTTCTCCGAGAGATCGCTGGGTCTTCAACCGCTTTCGTCCTTGATCCATATTGCACTACTAACTTACTGCCTGGTACATACAGCTTGAAGACGAACAAAGGCATTTTCCTTTGGAGTGGGATAGGAAAACAGAGAGGTCATGTTACTGACTACTAAGCAAACTTTCGAGAGGTCTGTTACACACCAGTTATGCATCTGCATGGCACCAGAGCAAGGTATAGTGTGTTGCAACATAACGTGTCCTAAAATCATAATATTATGCGACCAGTCCGCCATGTTTAAAAGCGAAAAGCATAATATTATGTGACCAGTCCACAAAGTGTTAAATGTTAACATACTAACCCAGCATTTGCTTGAAGGCACTGAGTCTTGGAGCTGATTGTCCCAGTTACAAAACGGGAGTATCAGGTATTTACTATATCCTGACAGTAATAATGCTATTTCCATATGCATTCTCTACAAGATTCCATGTTCTGGAGAATGGAACGCTGTTGGTGCAAGAGGTACACATGGCAGACAGTGGAAAGTATGGCTGCACAGCTGGCAACAGTGGTGGCTTCAAGCGGGAGGAGGTGACCCTCATTGTGCGCAGTAAGTAAGCATATCAATATGGCATGACTAGATGCAATAAAATCTGTGGAAACCAAAGGCATATGAAGTGTATGGATGGACAGTCAGAATCTCTGAATTATATATTTTTGATGGTCTTGGACCATGCAGACATAGCAAGTCACTTTACTGATGAACTGTCATGTCTTAGTATTGTTTCAGGAGGATTCAGTCTGTTACTCTGCATTGTGTTTTGTGGCTAACTGTTGTAGGCCCAGAGGGCTACCACCCCAGTGAGGACCAGGAGGGGGACAGCTCTATGATGACCAAGACCTTCACAATCACACTGAGCATTGCAGGTTCTTACATGATGCTTGTGGTGGGACTGATGATCTGGTGCCGGCACAGACGCAAACGAAGAAAACAGGCTTATCTCACTGCAAATGGAGCTGAAGGTACAGACACCCTGTGTAAGTGGTGTGTCCATGTGAGTTAAAGAACGTCATTACAGTGAAATCATGATAGAGCAACTATGGCTTATAATGGGGACTTCATTATACTGACTAGAACCACTGGGACCATTAGTATGGAGAACCATAGCATAAAAGAAGGGTTGATTTTCCCACACTTTCATCATAATGAGTGATCTCTAACTAGACACCGCTCTTTTCTCATGTATGAGGTGCAGTCAAGAAGTTCCTGGAATGCTGGTATAGCACTCTAATGGTAGAACATATGGAACTCTTACCTAATCACCTTCAAAGTAGGACCCTTGCATGCACACACACTTGCTCCATCAATCCTGCCATTGTTGGAAGCAGCGATGGAGGGCTTCTTTTGGAGTCTTCCGGAGCTCAGACATCGCATTCGATTTGATGTCCTCCATGGTTGTGAAACTTGTCCCCTTGAGGCCCATTTTAGAGTAGGGAACAGCCAAAAGTCACTTGGAGTGAGATCTGGAGAGTACAGTGGTTGAGTGATGACAGGAATGTTTTTCTCAGTGAGGAATTGCTGCACAACAAGCGATGTGTGGCTCGATGCATTATCGTGATGCAGAAACCGCCGTCCCTGCCACTTGTCATGCCGCTTCCTCCAAACAGCATCGCGCAACCACTGCAAAACTTGCACATAGAAATGGCCAGTAACGGCCTCTTCAGGCTGTATGAACTCATGGTGCACCAAACCGTCGATGTCAAAAAATGCAATGAGCATCACTTTGTCTTTGGATCTGACAATGCATGATTTTTTTTGGCCGGGGAGACGACGCTGTGTGCCACTCCAATGACTGCATCTTCATCTCTGGGTTGTAGGCAAATCCCAATGACTCATCACCAGTGACGATCTTTTTGAGAAACGTTGGGTCCTGCGTACTTTTGTCAAACAGATCGCCAGCAACCATCATGCGACATTTTATCTGATCCGTGGTCAGCTGCCTCAGAACAAACTTCACACTGACACGTCTCATCTTCAAACCGTTGGACAAAATGGCATGAATGGATCTGTGTGTGATACCAACTTCTTGCTCCAACTCCGTGATGGTCATTCTTTGATCACATCAAATCAGTTGTCACACTTTTCCAATAATTTCTGGATGTCGAAGGTCTCCCGCTGGGCTGGTCATCCTCTAACATCTCCTGCCCATTCTTAAACCGGGAAAACCAGTTGTAAACTGCGGATTTTTTAGTACAGTATCACCGTAAACTTGCTGCAGGGCCGATTGCATCTCTGAAGCAGATTTTCCCAATTTGCACATGTACTTAATGTTCGCATGCTGTTTGAACTGCGACATTGTGCCAAATGACCAACACTCACGTCTAATTGAAACGGAACAGTAACAACACTGCACACTGAAACCTGTCCAGACCTATTGCGCCTACGAGCAGACATGCTGAGCTCCCCACCACAACAATGTGTGTGCTATCTTATTGCTCGTTCTCCGTCTGCAGGAGAATTCTGGGAACTTTTTGACTGACCTACATATTCTTGCACCAACTTTACTTGCAGTTTTTCTTCTGTTTGATGCTGGTTCTTTTTCTTGCTTCCCCCCTCGTTAGTGGTTCCACCTTATCGTGGTGAGGGGGTTTGAGTATGCCAAGGACCCTGAGAGCTATACCAGTGGTGGTGTAGCTGCTGGCAGGACCTCCCTTGCTGGATAGGTCAAAGGNACCTTGAATCAAGCAGGCAAATTGGAGAATTTGAAAATGGAAATGCAGCATTTCGAAATGTGATGTTGGAGAAGGATGGAGAAGATCAGTTGGACCGATTATGTGAGAAATGAAGAAGTGTTATTTAGAGCCAGTGAGCAGAGGAATATCCTACATGAAATAAGAAAACGGAAGGCTAATTGGATTGGTCATATCTTACGCAGTAACTGCCTTCTAAAAGAAGTTATTGAAGGAAAGATAGAGGGGCGGATAGAAGTGACCAGAAGGCGAGTAAAAAGGCGTAAGAAGATGCTGGATGACCTTGGGGACAGAAGAGGATATTTCCATTTGAAGGGGAAAGCTCTAGATCGCATCAAGTGGAGGAACTGTTTTGGAAGAGATTGACAGATTACAGATGAATGAATGAATTCTTGTTCAGCCCTGAAGACTGAGGTGACATGTTCCTCAAACCGTCAGTTGACTTTCAACAGACTACACCGTGTTATATCCCCGAAGATAGAATTTTGTGAGAACTGGAAATACTGCATTGTGTTTATGTATTTAACCATTTTCATATATGACAAATATCTCTTAAAATGACTATCTCCCACCCCAAGTTTACACTCTCTTGTAGCATCAAGATTACACTTACATCACTCAGATTCTGTGTTCCCCTAATGAGTAGTCTCTTGACATGCGGCATGGTGTAGAACACTGGCACTCAAATTGTGGTTCATGAAGCTCTAAGGTTGCAGTTTTTCAAGGTTTGAAAGAAAAAATGCAAATAGTTATTGTGTGGTCATATTTACACTTCTGTCTGTGTAGTTAATGAACCTATTCTCCAAGATCTGATATTTATATAGAAGTGTTACAATCCAGGAGATATTTTATGAACTTTCCATCCATTTCACTACCACCTTTAGCAGATTATAATTCTTTCAGAAATCTCTATCCTGTACATATGCATTTGAAAGGAACAATTTTCTTTGGTTAGTTACAATATGAAAATTGACACTGAATAAAATCTGAAGATTTTTAAGTGTTTTAACATGTTCAATCCCTTCTGAACTACTCAATTAATTTTTGTCATTTTAAAATTTCTGTTTGTATGACACTGGTATGTGGAGGAACATAACATTTTTATTATACACTGAGGCCTTCCTGTAACATGGCCCACTGAAGTGCAGGTACTACTAACTTGTGGAATCATCAGGGACAATGAACTTAGTTCTGCCTGCAAAGTGAAGGGATCTTTCTGTTTGTATAACTGTGTTGTGGTCTGCTGGTGTTGACTCTGATTTTGACAGCTCTGTTACTTCTTATAAGTTTGGATCACTATAGTATTTAGTAATTGCAAAAAAAGAAAAAATAATGGAGGACATATAATTAAATAAGTTATTTAACCCTTCATTGCCATCTGACATCCACAGTAGGCCATCAGGGTCTGTCAGTTGTTGCTTTTCACATCAAGTAATTCTTTTGGTACAAAATAAATGAGGAACTTTCAGGCTATCATATTATCCCACTTCCTCTTTCCCCAGGCATTTGTATTACATTTGAATTCTTTGAAAAATTCTCTACCTCACCAGTTGGTGCCCCATATGAACATACAAACCTGTCTGCACCCTGGGGAATTTTTACAAACTAAATATGTTACATTGATTGTGATTGATTGTGTGCTGTTCTTGTGCATGTTGATCAAAACAAAAGTCAATTCTGTCAATGATTTGGAAGCATTATTTCATGATCGAGACAGTACTGCTTTCACTTAGGCATTTGTTACCATGAGAAACTGTGATCATGACTTAACAGGAGTGTGTTATGACTACTATTCAAGAAACAATAACACTTATATATATATATATATATGAGTGCTTCTACTGTACATTCCCTTTGTTCTATAAATATGCATCTCATTCCCATATAGCAGTCATGAAATGGGAGAATATTTGCTTCTAAGTGAATCAGAAGAAAGTTTGCCAGATCCAGAATTTGACACTGACAATGAATTAGATAATTGTGCTCTTCTTGATGCTATGTTAAATGATGACAATGATGAGGATGATAGTGTTACTCAAGACTTTGTTCCGAAGAATGCGCAAAACTGTAAGGACAAAGAGAAAATTTCGTGGTCACTGTTGGACCTCAAGGTGCTGCAAAACATGGGACAGAGATTGTGGACATTTTTAGTTGGTTTTCATTAGAGAACTAATATGCAAACAGATATGTGGAGCAATTTCTACGCAGGTGTGAACTATCAGTCAGGTTGCCTGCTAGGGTGTGGAAACCTGTGACAGAAAAATTTATGTTGTATTGGGTCTGTTTATGTGGGAAGAGAAAGGACACTGTGTATTTGTGTGATGTGTGTGCAATGGGACTCTGTCTAGAATGTTTTCATGAATAACACCCAGCTTAATTTCTAAGGTAATATGATATTCAAATTTTTATAAGCTTACTGTACCAACAATAATGTTATAACAGTGTGGATTAATACTCCAATACTGTATACTTTTCTGAACCAAGGGTGAAAATTATAAGAACAGAATTCCAGCTTTTATCAATTATATTACACTTTAAGTGAAATATTGCATTCTGTTTCAAATGCTTAAATATTCTCCATCCCAAGGAGTGAGTAGGTATTAAATGTTGTGTTTCATTCAAGGGTTAAATAGTTCACATTTACATATTGTAAATATATTATAAGAACTTAATGTCCATGTATTTATCATCTGTCAATATTGGATCACTTGTTTTAATTTTAATTTAGTTTAACATTTTACACTTTGACACTACATGTTTCAGCCCCAAAAGGCCATCTTCATGTGTTTTGATATACAGGGTGATTCATAGAGAACCGGCCTGACGAAATGAGCTGTAATATAAAATATACCTTACAGATACTAAAGTAATTTACACATATCTTATCTTGGATTGTGTGCCATGGTCAGAGCAGGTGTTGAAAGGGTCCGCCATCTTCAAGTAGGCACTAGAAACACTCGCTGTTCAGCAGTGTACTCCATGACTTGCCTGCGCACTGCAGACACGTTTTGGGATTATCCTTGACCTTGCGGCATAAGGGCTGCCACTTGCCGGATCATGTGCACACCATTTGACTCACCATGTCCCACGGATTATTATGTCCTAATTGTCAGCTGTTATATGCATCACCTGTGGAATTATTAGCAAATTCATCGGGCCAGTTCTATATGATTCACCCTGTATTACAAATATTTTATTAAATTATGTTAATACTGCTACACTATGTTAGTCCGTGTTAAAATCACACATTGTAGTTCTCTTTTTTCAAGGTAAAACGAGATAAAATCCATAACATTTCTATTATGCCCATGTTATTTTGGTGCATTCTATTTCACCTCACAAGGGTGACATCCATTGTTCATAAATGAATGTCTGTCTCAGGTATTTTGTTTAGGCAGCTTGGTCTTCACATTCGTAGCCAACTTTTCGGTTATGACTGCCATCTCTAATTTATAACATCCCTAGACTAAAGTTGTTTTCAGTTTGCTATTGTTATTATGTTATGTTTGTTTTCTTTGTACTCACGCGCCCCTGTTTTGCGTGTTTCTTCCACAGTGTGGTGTTGTCTTTACTAGTAGGGATGGGGTGTGTTTGTTCCTGTATTTATATGCCCTGGTTGCGAGGAGTGGGGAGAGATGGGGGAAGTTATAGTGTTATGTTTGTATAGTGTGTTATACTGTTCAGAACAGTATAACACACGCAGTCACAGGAGCAAGACACAACAAAAGCACAACACACACAAGATAGTGAAGGAGTGCTCCAACAGAGGAGAATGGGCGTGACTGGCGTAGTGAGGTGCGACGTAGCGATGTGGTATCCTGAACAATTTTAATATTTTTAACGTTTGACAATGTATATGATAGATACATATTTTAGTTATTTTAATATGAGAACAAGGCATGCAATGAACTAGTTTGGCGTGGATAAGTAAGCACCTGAAGATGGCATTATTATGCCGAAACATGTAGTGCGAGGGAGAGAAGGAGATAAATGAGTGTATGCACTGCAAGACGGTTTAAATAAATCATGGACTTAAATCAGTGCAACAGGACGCTAAAATATAACAATAGAAATACAAACTGAAATCAGTCTGAAAGACAATAAAATTTTCTGCATATGCTCAAAGAGAAATTTTTACAAACAAAAATTAACTGTGGTTATTTTGTCATGAAATACAAAATATAATCTTTATTATATATGTTATGAAAGTCCAAAGGACTTACCCATTGTTTTTCTTCAACCTTGAATCACGGTGATATTGTAAATATAGTCACACTATATACAATAATATTTTGTTCAGACTGTACACGAGTTTGAGTTTCATAGTTTACGATACACTCTGACGCGTGTGGCACTTCTCAAAGCAGTCCACCTCACACAGAGCGACACCACCCTTTTTACAATAGAAGAGCATGCTCCTGCTTTTCTTATTTAGCGAAACACATGACAATGTCTTTGTTTCCCTTTGGTTGGCCAGTGTTTTGAATGTTTCACCTCCAGTCAACTCACTTGGGCCCCCTGATAACTTTGGCCTCCCCCCAAGAAACGCCACTGACCATGATATTCGGCTTGTGCGATTGAAGAATCATCTTGGGGGAAGGGGGTGTCTAGCAGAATCGAATAAATTATGTTGATTGACAAGGCAACACTCTCACTTATTAGTAATACTCGCAAAATATTGATGCAAAGTAATTATAATACTAGTCGAAAAGAGTGCCAGTCCGACACTGATACCGAACGTCGCAGTGGCAAAGATGTCTTTTACTCACAAAGTAATACTGACTCAGTGGGTTTATACCTGATCCAAGACGCAAAATAAAAATGATATATAAAAAAAATATGTGACAGTCTGACACTGACTTTTTAACTGATAAAGAAATATTAGCCAATCCAACACTGACTTCATAACTGATAATTCGTCACTGAAAACCAATCCTTCAATGCGTCGAACTTCCTTGAAGGCTCTGGAAGCACTCATATGCAAGCACCATGAATATTTCCTCATCAGTTCTCAAAACAAAGCTGGGCTATATTTGGCTGACCAGGTCATAAACAGTCATATCTAAATGTAAATACAGTAAAACTTGGTTATAGCAACATCGGTTTCTGCGACACCTTGTCTATTGCGTCAAATATTCAATGGTACGAACTAATTCCTCATAAAGCAACTGTTTTTATACCTTGCTTAGTACGACATGCACAAATGCATCAACCTCGTATGTAACGTCATTTTCATTCCTGAATTTCTCTGATATGGTGGGAAAGTTCGATGTGTCTGCCCACCCTCACTTTCTCTACTTGCTGACGTGACTGTCCTGGAAGAATACGACCGCGGGCTGCAAGAGGAGCGTGGGTTTTATGCGAAAACAAGGGTGTGGGGTGGGACTGCGTGAATAGTGCAAGAGGACGCGGCAGGTTGTTAACTGTATTCCTTTCCTAGAATCTCGTCTAACAGGACCTCACATTGTCTCCTTACCCTATAGTGTTCCTGCCTAAACCCAGAGAAGTGCAGTAGCGAAAACGTGGCAATGAAAAGGAAAGTTTTAAGCATTGAAGAGAAAGTTAAAGTGATTCGTGAAATATTGTGTGTATTGTCAGTGAAAAGCGCTGTAATATGTCTTTCATATTACACATTTGGGCAATTCCACATTAATGTTACGTTAGTCTGTACTTAACTACGTATTTCACTAAAAAAATGCAACATTTTAACTCGGTTTTTGGTAGATTTTTACGTGATTAACATAAGGCTACTGTGGAAGTGCCCATTTCGGTTACAGTGACATTCGTTTATAACGGCAATAATTTTAGGTCCCTTTGATGACGTTATAACCAAGTTGTACTGTAGTATCAAAATCAGTACCATGGTAAACGATTTCTTTGTTCAGAGCTAAGGAATGAACCACTGACATGACCTCACGTAGGTTTGTTTTGGCTTCAAACCCAAGGTCAAACTGTCAGCACTCCCAAAGAGAGCACAAGTACTCCGTTAGATATATATAACATTCAGCCACCTCGGGGTGCAGCTTGCTGTTAGATATATTTAACATTTAGCCGTTAAAGGTTAATGAAATATTTGTAATATATCAAGACACCTGAAGATGGCCGTTTGGGACAAAACATGTAGTGTCAAAGTGTAAAATGTTAAACTAAATTAAAATTAAGTAGTGAGCAAACAAGTGTTGCAATATTGACGGACAGTAAATACATGGACGTCAAGTTAAACAATTGCAACAGGATGCTGGAATACAGAATATTATAAGAAAACATTTCCTTCATATTCCCTTTAATTTCATTGTGCTTTATTTGGTCATTCAGAAGTAACGTTATGTCTATGAGATATTTTGAATCAATTTATAGAATTTGTTACATGGATTTGTGTAGTTTAGGATTACTAAATGTTTTGAATTCTTGGGACGGTCCTGGATTCACATGCAGTTAGCCAGATACAGGCCTTGGAAGGACGTCTGCTGACACTTTGTTTATTTAGCTTATTTGATGAGCTGAAGGCAGTGAATAGAGGCAGAGTAAGGGTCAGAAACTCTTGTATGATTCTTATGTCATTCTGTGCTAGTGACAAAAGCTGAGAATGGTGAGGCAGGTGTGGAGCACACAGAACTGAAAGAGGCAACAGCCAGTCAGCAGCTACCTGATGTAGGTGGGGATGGGGCAGACACTGCTCAGTCCCACAGTTCCTCGCAGAGCCGACGTTCCAACAAGAGCAGCAGCTATGACCGACTGGCATTTCCACGGCAAGACCTGCACAACATGGTCTTGCTAGGTGAGAACTTCTTTGGCTAGTTAATGCTCTTAGCCCTTTAACCATCAAAACACTGAAGATCATGCATTCCCTCTGGGCTGTGTTTTGTATGTTAATAACTTGAGCATATAGCCACAAAATTTACATAACTGAACCAAGTGAATTTTTACTGAAGTGTTCCTGTCACCTAATTTAAGAAAGCTGTAAATAATATATCATTTTAAAGAAACTTTTGTTTAAACTTCTAAGTTCACCCCCCCTCCCCCAAGAATGTGTTTTAAGACCATCTCTCTTATTCCATGAGAAGAGGTGTGGGCATGCAGTGCTTTTGCACAGTATCACAATATGACCTCTGTACTTAATGCAGCCATGGATACATGCTTGTTTCATGATGTCTCATGAACTAAACATCATGGTTCTGTCATTAGTGCACTTACTTTATATTCAGGACAACCTGGGTTCAAATCTTGGCCTGGAGACTGGTTATCCTGACTCAGGTGTTTCATAGTCTTAGTCTTATCAGATAAATGTGGGACAGTACCCTACTTTATATTCAGGACAACCTGGGTTCAAATCTTGGCCTGGAGACTGGTTATCCTGACTCAGGTGTTTCATAGTCTTAGTCTTATCAGATAAATGTGGGACAGTACCCTACTTTATATTCAGGACAACCTGGGTTCAAATCTTGGCCTGGAGACTGGTTATCCTGACTCAGGTGTTTCATAGTCATAGTCTCATCAGATAAATGTGGGACAGTACCATAAGTACCTTTGGAAACTTCTTTCCACATTCATCACTATTTGTCGTTTACGACTGACGTCTTTATTTGATGCTCCAAGACTGATGTAAGTTGAAGACATTTCACTGAATCACCTTAGGAACAGTCAGTCACTGTGTCCATTCAGTCTTCTCACCTCACTCCAAGAACACAGTTTGATTGAACTGATTTATGTGTGTCTGAATGCAGTTTCATCAAAAATGGGGCTTGTAGGTCATATTGAGCAGTTAGAGCTGTCTCCCTACTTGCATCTGACATTGATAAACAGAAAAGGAGTGCAAGTATTGTACAAGGACGAATATTGTCAGAAAAGGTTTCCATTTAATGACACTCTCAATATTAAATTTATTGTGGCACAAAAATCTGTTTCAGATAATTTATTTCAACCATGTAAGTCAAGAGTTCACTGGGTCTAATGATCAATAAATGATAATTAGGTGCGTTCTGAAGTCTCCAGGTATATAATTTTTTTTCAGAAGTCTTAAAATGTAAGTTAATGAAGCACTGTGTTTGGCAAGACATTTACCAGAGTCAGGAACCTATGGAAAAAATTGGAATGAGGAATTTGGAGTAGAATATTACTATATATTGTCACGTGACAAATAAATTAATGTGGGTCTCGGATTCAGCGAATCTTTATTGGACATTCACTCTTACACGCTGTACAATTGTTAACACTTCATCTGTATTCTGCGGTGGCTATCTTCCAACTGTGTTGTATGGCAACTAGGTTCCAACTGTATTGTATGGCGACTAGGTTCCATCTGTGCTGTTGCTGTCTGTGGCTCTCGGCTTATGTAGGTGTTCTGCGGACTCAGTAGAGGACACCCCTCGCCAAGGTTTGATCTCACGTGTTCGGCAATCTGTTGCTTCGGGAACGCTCTTTATGCACTAGTAAAGTGTTTCGTCTCATCCGTTGTTACTCTACGGGCTTTCTGTTGTTCATCTCTGGGGAAACACACTCGTTGTTTCGGCATTGTCTACGCAATGGCTCATTGTTATTGAGTTACCATGGTAGTAACTCTTCTGGATTCTAAACATGTGACAATATTTTAATAATAGAAGCTGTTTATCATATAGTGTTAACATATAATTTAAGAAGTAAAAGTGAAAAAATAAGGCTATCCCTGTACCAGGCCGTGAAGGCCCATAGGATTGTGAGACGTTGAGGGTCCCACATTATCTAGATAATCGGCTTGAAGATGGCGGTAAGGTTGTCAGCCTTACGCACCGGCCACGCTTTACTCCCCAGGAAAATTATTTAATTAATTCCTTGTACTCATTTCTGTTAACGAGGCTGAGTCAACCTCAGGGCCATAGTGCGGCTGGAAGGATTAGGTCAATTGGAAAAAATCCAATGACCTCATCGGGACTTGAATCCGCGACCTTCCGGCTTGTAGCATAGTGCGTCAACGAACTACACTACCGCGTGCCCCCTAACATATTGTCATGTGTTGGGTGTATAACGCGAAAAATAACTTTACGCCATATTGAATATAGTGAATTCATTCCACTCGCTCTTATAATCACACAATTTACAGTCTCACAATTACTATTGCCATCTGCAGTATCACAATTTATCACATCAAATCTTCTAACCACACTATATTTTCAACTGTCTTTGGCAGCTGATACATTTTAACTGACTCCTTATGCAGTGTGGTTCTCTTAAAAACCCTCAGCCAGACAACGGGAAAACGCCTCGCTTCCTTGTTGCCTAGTCGCCATGTTTACAGGTGTTGCTGGGCAATGCTGTCGAGAGTTGTTTACTGCTGCATAGCAACCGTGGCATCCCCCACTAAGCCACTGCGGGGGAGGGGGGCGGGGTGTTGACTGGCACATTACTGTAGTAGCGACAGCACCCAATGTTACGTCACCTCTGGCTGGGGAAGGGATGTCCTCCGTAGTGCAGTACGTCACACTGCTCCCTTCTTAAGGCTGTTCATCCTGAGTAGCCTAACGTTACATCCCCATTACTTTCATTTGCAGGCTGTCCTTGCAACGTCATCTTCTTTCTTGTCTGGCTACTCCTCTTGCAGCAACTGTCCTCCATCCGTTACATCCGCTCCCCTATTAAGACCAGCTCATCTCGAGCGGTTTCCTGTTAACTTGCCAGAAGATCCAGTTGTATCACATTCACTCCTTCACTTTCTCCCATCGCACATTCACTCTTGCTCGGGAGGCCGGTGCTTCTAATTTACCGGCTCCTCTTCTGTGCTTTTCTTCTTTTTCGTTTTGGAGGGGGTTGACCCCTCCACATGATCCAGTTTGTGATGTTCTGGCATCTGCTGGAAATCCCTACTGCTTGTGCACTTGCACATACCTCGAATTTTCCTTTCAGGACAAGTCCTTGTGTTGTCCTTGTTATAGTAAAAACGCTACACTTCAGTTATTAACATGTCCTTACGGTTTATTATTAATAAACAAGAGGAGAAGCACTGCTTCTCTGTAATAGAAACAAAGCATGTCTGCACTTTACACGTTACATCAACATTCTGCCTAGCTTCATCATGGCTACCAACTTCTTAACTTTTCTTCATCAATATTACAATCTCTCAACACTTTCCCTTATTGAGAAGAAAAGAAACAATTTACAATATTAAACATTTGACTGCAATTACAAAAATAACCCCATTCTGACACACAACTTATTCATCTGTGGTTTGTGAAGTGGCTTTGTCAGAATGTCAGCAACTTGATCATTTGTTGACACTTGTTTAATACTAATCTTACCCGATTCCACAACTTCTCTAATAAAAAAATGTCTCCGATCTATATGTTTAGTTCTACCGTGCAAAGTAGGATCTTGAGCCAACTTTACAGCAGCAAAATTATCAACTTCTAATAAAGGAGTATCATTCAAACTGTTTATCTCCTTATATAATCTGCTTAACCATAGTACTTCTTTGGTTGCTTCAGTTGCTGCTACACGTTCTGCCTCTGTAGTAGAAAGAGCCACAGTAGTTTGTCTGCGGCTAAGTCAAGATACTGCACCTCCAGCATAGATGACTACAGCGCCTGAAGTAGACCGACCCGTGCTCTCACATCCTCCAAAATCTGCATCACTGTAACAATTTAAAACTCTAGAATTACAGTTAGGATCATAGATTATGCCTAGAGACACGGTTCCCTTAATGTACTTGAGAACTCTTTTCAGTCTTCCTATGTCTTCATTTGATGGACTCTCTAGGGACCTTGAAAGTACTCCGACACTGTATGCCAAGTCTGGTCTTGAACCTATCATCAAGTACATAATAGCGCCTACGGCTTGGCGATATGGAAATCTCTTCTCATTTCTATCACCCTCTTTCCCTAAATCCATACTATCTTTCACCATTGGAGTTGAAACTGGGTTACAATTTGAAAAGTTAAATCTCTCAAGGATTCTTTTGGCATATGCTTCTTGAGAGATCTTGATCCTTCCATCCTGTCTTCTGTCTATTTCCAAACCTAAATAATAAGTTGCTGGCCTTTCAGCTATTTTGAAATTCTGTTTCAAATCATGAAGAAAACTATTTAATTCCTCTTTATTACTTGCAACAACAAGACCATCATCAACATACAGTACTAGAAATATCTTGTTTCCATCTCTTTCTCTAATATAGAGACATGGGTCTTCCTTACTGATTCTGAATTTTTGTTCAGTCATGAACTTTCCAAAACGTTTATTCCAACACCTGGGAGCTTGCTTTAATCCATATAGGCTTCTCCTGAGCTTACATACTTTATTCGTACCATCTGAAAAACCTTCTGGTTGGCTCATGTAGATAGTCTCTTCCAAACTTCCATATAGGAAGGCTGTAGATACATCGAACTGTGACATCCACATCCCTTCCATTGCTGCTGTACTGATGGCTGCACGTATGGTTCCCCATTTTGCTACAGGACTAAATGTTGAATTGTAATCAATTCCTTGTCGCTGGCTGAAACCCTTGACTACAAGTCTTGCCTTATACTTGTCAACATTACCATCAGGATTTTCTTTGACTCTGTATACCCACTTACATTTTATAATTTTTTCATTTTCTGGTCGTTTGGTGACTTCCCATGTATTGTTTTCTCGTAAAGATTCCATTTCCTTAAGCATTGCTTCCTTCCACTTCTCCTTTTCTTTACAAGAAATTGCCTCTTCGTATGTCTCGGGGTTGAACCTTTCATTTAACACTTCTGATATCATAACATAGTCTTCTAGGTGGGATGGTTTCTTTAAGGTAGTTCTATCTCTTAAAGAGCGAGTTTTTGGATCTTCTGATTGCACCTCTTCACTATCTTCACTTTGAGTCTCATCTTCATAATCCGACTGACCACTTGTGTTTTCTAAAGCTCCAGTGCTAAAGCTGTCACCTGTCTCGGATTTAGAGTCTTCATGAGATTTGATGCATCTTATTGGATTCTCTTCGAATACCACATCTCTTGACAGTGCTATTGACCTTGTGCCTTTTATCCACACTCTGTATCTCTCATCACCGTCGTAACCCACTAAGTACCCTTTAACTGCTTTTCTATCCATCTTGGTTCTTCTTTGTTTCGGTATATGTACATAACAAGGGGTTCCAATTATCCTGAAGTGTTTCAAACGCGGCTTTTTCTTGATCCAGAGTTCATAGGGGCTTTTCCCTTCTTCCTTTGACTTTCCTGTTCTATTTAAAATATACACTGCCGTATTTACCAACTCACCCCAAATTTCTTCTGGGAATTCTGTTTCCTTGTTTGCATACATAAGTGTCCTTGCCATCTCAATAACTGTGCGGTTTTCACGCTCGGTATTCCCGTTCTGTTCAGGCGTATAGGGAGCTGTTAGCCGATGAACTATACCATTTTTGTTGAGAACATTCCTAACCTTCTCATTATCAAATTCTCCTCCATTATCACTGAGGAATTCATGCACAACATGTCCTAAGGCCTTTGCCTTCCGTATCACATCTGTTAAGATACTTTCCACTTCTGATTTTTCCTTCAACAAATACACATATCTGTATCTAGAGTAATTATCCTTAAATAGTGCAACATACCTCTTTCCTTGAAAGGTTGGTTTGAATGGACCACACACATCTGCAGATAAGAGTTCTCCTTGAATTGTCACTTCGTTTCTTCTTCCAAAGGGAAGTCTATGAGCCTTTCCATACATGCATGGTTCACACACAGAACTATCTACCCTTACTTTTATTTGAAACTCCTTTTCAAGGATATTCTTTATGTGTCTTTTATCTTGGTGTCCAAACCTCTCATGGTATAGCTGAAGAGTGGAATCATTAGTTGTAACAGAATTTACTTCAATTTGTCGCTCTGGCATAACAGGCTCAATTAGGGCTTTGTACAATCCACCTCCTGTGGAACGCTTTCCTTTTACTATCTCCTCTCCATGGACTTGCAAACTGCATGTGTTAATACCTGATATGAATCTACTTGATGGGTTGGCTTCATGAGCTGTTAGGACAGAAAAAAGATTCTTGACAAGGTCAGGCACAAATAACACATTCTTTAGTAACAACATTTTATTCTTGTTTCCTAGGTCTGACTTCACTTTCATGTCTCCAGCCCCAACTGCTTGTAGCGGAGCTTGACCTGCTTGAATAATGTCCTTTGGCTTCTCAAACCCTTCAAAATTTATGAAGTACTTGGAACAATTTGTCATGTGTTTTGTAGCACCATTGTCAATCCACCACTCTGTACCCTTAACCTCAACTGTAGAGCAAATCTCACAATCAGAAGCTACTGTTCCAATTATTACTTGAGCACTGTCTTTACTACTTTCTTTTTCTTGATTTCCTCTTTGAGGACAGCCATCACGTATCCACTTCTTGCAAGTTTTCACCCAGTGTCCTTTTCTTTTACAGTAATTGCATGTGTCGTTTTTCTTTGATTTTGGCTTCCAGTTATGTCTTGCAACAGAGGCCTCCTGTGTAAAATTCTCAACTTCTTTCACTGTTTCTTGAATCGGAAATTTTACAAAATTTCTCTCGAACATGCATAACTTACTAGTCAATTCATCTATTGGGTTGTCTTTGCTTTTTCCTATAAGCATCCAACTAGACTTGAATGACTCAAATGACTTTGGTAGAATACTCATAACTTTGCAAATAAACAATAGGTTAGGCAGCGCATGTTCCTTCGTTGCCACCAAACCACCGTTTAACTCATTCCACAAGGTTAAAAGTTTTGCTACATGTGTTGATACATCTTCTTTGTCTGACCAACTGAAGGCGAAGAAATCACTACAAAACTTAAACAATTGATCTTCTGTACCAGCCTCAAATTGCCTTTTGAGAGTCGCCCATACCTCACGTGCCGTGTCCTTATCCATTATCTTTTGATACACTATATCTGTAACTGATGCTGTGATCATGGATTTGGCATAACTGTTTGCCTTTCTGTAGTAATCCAACTCTATTTTATACTGTCTCTGTTGTGCTGCAGTCGCGTTCTCTTCAAGTGGCTCCGGTTTTGTTATTTTACCATCAATGGCTTCTAGGGCTCCCTCATGGTAATCCATAAGATCCCTTATTTTCCTTTTCCACACAGGCCAGTCTGCACTGCTACCTAGTGGTTTAAGTTTCTTTATGAAATCCATTCTTCTTCGGATTTTCTTCAATGGCGAATAACCCGCTCTTGTGAAGGACTGACGCACTTCTAACCTATCACAGCTCACTCATTACGCAAAAAAAAAGCCTGGGCCCATAACCTGTTATAGTAAAAACGCTACACTTCAGTTATTAACATGTCCTTACGGTTTATTATTAATAAACAAGAGGAGAAGCACTGCTTCTCTGTAATAGAAACAAAGCATGTATGCACTTTACACGTTACATCAACATTCTGCCTAGCTTCATCATGGCTACCAACGTCTTAACTTTTCTTCATCAATATTACAATCTCTCAACAGTCCTCTCATATTCAAGTTCTTCTCGTGCTTTCTTCGACACATCTTTATGCCGGCTTGCGCATGACGCCAACTGATATCTTGTGCTGTGTCACATTTGCACAGCTAGTCATCATCTTGTCAGCTGTGACCAACCGCTTCCTCCCGGGTCCACCAGTTCCCTGAGTAAGGTTCTTCATGATGTCTCTCTTGCATCGTGCCTCTGTTGCATGACGGGACATTCTTGTGTCACTTCTCTTCAGCGGTCCACAATTTCTTTGGGTCCAAGATTTCCTGAAGATATTCCTCTTGAGCCATGCCAATACGTCACAATATAATCATGTAAAAAATAATAATGTACATGTAAAATCAAATCCATATATGGCAAGGTTTCACTATATTGAAATTATTTCACCCTTCTTTATGTATACATTGCCTCTATAACTTAGAAAGCACTATAACATAGGATGTCAAATAAAAGGTACCTGGGAAGAAAAAAGTGAGGGAGTATGTCCAAATGGTTTACACATACAAGAGAAATGCTAATGGGAAAATAGGAGATCTTGGAGAAGGCCTTGTCATAGGATGAGGTGCATCAATAGAAATGTCAGTGGGAGATGATGACAGTAATCAATAAGCAAAATTTTCTAGGTCGAGGGAAGTTTGGTGAGGTGTTCCTGGCAAGAGCCAAAGGACTACAAGAAGGTGAGGACAAGGAGAAGGAGACGGTGGTAATGGTGAAATCCCTTCAGAATACTCGAGAGGACTCAGCACTGCAAGAATTCAAGCGAGAACTGGACATGTTCCACAAACTGCAGCACCAGCATATCGTCCAGCTGCTGGGGCTGTGCTGTGAAGCTAACCCACATTATATGATATTGGAGTACAGTGACTGGGTATGTGCATGCACCTACAAAAGTACTTGAACTACTCCACAAACAGGTGCATCTTCATCACCTAACCTTTGAAGTATGGACGTTTAAATTGTCGAGAGCCTGCTGCAGCCAGAATTTAAATGTCTTTAAAGTTGCAGACTTTCAGAAAAAACTACATATTTTCTGTTTTATGCAATATAGAAATATGAACTAAAAACAGCCTGAAAAATAATAACATTTTCTACATTTACATAAAAGGGCAATTTTTACAAATGAAAATATACTATGATTATTTTGTCATGAAATGCAAAATGTCATCTTTATTATATATATTATGAAATTCCAAAGGACTTAACTGTAGTTTTTCTCAAAACTTCAGACATTTTTATTTTGTAAAAAATAATCACTATGTACAATAATCTTTTGTTCAGACTGTATGTGAGTATAAACTGTGTCACTTCACATTTTATGATAACTCCATTCAGTGCTCACACTCTGACGTACGTGTGCCACTGGTCAAAGCAGTGCTTGACACATAGACCAACATCAACACTTTTTACAATAAAAAAAGTTGCTTCTAGTTTTCTTATTTAGCGAAAACACCCACAACGTCTTTGTTTCCCTTTGGGTGGCCAGTGTTGTCAATGTTTCACCTCTAATCGACTCAGTTGGGCCCCAGATAAACTTGGCCTCCCCCCACTGACCGGGCTTCCCCCGAGAAACGCCACTGACCATGACATTCGCCTCATGCGACTGTACAATCAAATCTTGCACTAAGATTTCGCGGAATTTTTTATGTGTCATTTTTCCACCACATGACTTGAGCAATAAATAGGCACTGAGAATTGTCATGTCTAGAAGGTGGGAAGACAATTTCTTTGCCGATTTCCATGTCCTTTGGGCAATTCCACAACTATTTACCATCCTGTCAGATTTATTCACAAAGCCCATATGTGCATTGTTGTCTTCAATGGCTTTATACCTCTACCGAGACACAAAATAAAAATGTTTTATAAATATATAATTGACAATCCGACACTGACTTTCTGACTGATAATTCGCTACTGAAAACAAATCCTTGAAAACGACCCACTTCCTTGCAAGCTCAAGTAGCACTAATCTGCATGCTCAGATGAATAATTACTTCTCAGTTCTCAAAACAAAGCTGTGCCCTATTTGGCTGACCAGTCATAAACAGTCATATCTAAACGTAAATAATCAAAACCAGTACCTTGGAAAACAATTTCATTGTTTAGAGCTAAGGAATGAACCACTGACTTGACCTTGCATGGGTTTGTTGTGGTTTCAACCCTAAGATCAAACTGTCAGCACTCCCAAAGGGTGCACATGTACCGCATTAGATAAATCTAACACTGGGCCACAGCCAAGTGTTACTTGCTGTTATATATACCTAGCATTGGTACTTGAAGGTTAATGATATACACCATAACGTCATGATTAGAAAATTACTAAAGCCTGTTTTCAACACACTTCCAGTAATCTTACACTGGTGGGAAATTCAGACACGTTGGGTTGATACTTTTCTCACCAGATGGCATTAGATGTGTGTCTCATGTAAAAGTACTGTATGTATACAGTGTTATGAAATTATGTTAATTTACTGTATTACCTTATTGTGAATTATTATTTTGGTTTAGAAGTGGTACTTTTCTCACTTATTTAACTCAATCTTATGGCACTGGTTCATTCTCACTTTTCTTAAAAAATATTTCTGCAAACCTGTAAATTCTGCCATATTGTTCTTTTTCCTGATAATGTCAATACAGTATGTGCTCCACTTGTCAGCTCCATATGATATGTGATTTCATAATGCCCTAGTAATACCATCATTACTAGCATTTTTTCACCAGTTTAAAAACCCTTTTTAATTAGTCCAAATTACATATATTGAGCTGCTTTCTTCTTCATTTCAGCCATTGCTATCTAACAAAATGATAATAAGAACTACCAGTCACATCACAAATTACACCCCTCCTACTTCTCCTTTCCTATCCCAACACATCCATAATTTCTGTTTATACAGAGTAATTCACGAAGTTTTACCCCGGCTTATGGTACAAATTCCTGGGGTTATTTCCTGCAAAATTTCCTTATAAACATTTGGTTGATTTTCAATAGTTACGGAGTAACAATAGATTTTCGAAACGCATCAATGTGAATGCAGCACTCTGCTCCCCTCCTGGGCCACCTTGCGTTCCAGTCAGCTGTGTCAGCAGATAAGCTGACCAGCTGGAATGTTGCACGATCCTAGGCAAAGCAATCCAGTAGTGAATAGGACGTAATGTTGGTGACTTTGTGAAGTTAAGATGCCATACACATTTTCCACTGAGGAATATGCCGATATGGTGTTTGTTTTGGGTGTATGTGATGGATATGCGAGAGCCACTCCTGCCGAATATCACCGGCGTTATCCTATTCACAGGATTCCTAATCCTAAATCCATTAGCAGTACATTCATCACATTAAGACAAACTGGTTCTCTCCCCAGCGTTTGTATACAATACGAACGAAATCCTCAACATGAATTGTGCGAAGAAGAAACCGTTCTTGATGCTGTAGAGCGCAGTCTGCGTGCCAGTAAAAAACATATAGTTCAGCGGTTCGGTGTTTCTCAGTCCATGGCGTGGAGGACTCTGCATGAGAACGGGCTGCATCCTTATCATTTACAGCAATTACAGCACCTACAACCAGGAGACCGTGCTCTTCGTTTGCAGTTCTGCAACTGGTTAAATGGAAATCAGCAGTTGTACTGCTCGATAATGTTCTGCGATGAGGCACAGTTTACACAGGACGGGGTCAACAACAGTCACAACTTACATGTTTGAGCAGGCAATAATCCCCGTGCCACGATAGAATTGAATTTTCGACACTGATTCTGTGTCAGTGTCTGGTGTGGTGTTCTGTATGATCAGCTAATTGGGCCATTCATTTTATTGCATATGGGGCTGGATGAAGGACATTGTGTACCAGGTAAAGTTACAAACACGTGGAGTTTTGCTTGAACGTATTCTGGGTACGGCGATGACAATAAGGAACAAACGTGTGGAACTGCGAAATGCTACGAGCGTGGTTCATACGTGTGCAACACATTGTGTTGACGTGCAGGGAGGAATTTTTGAAAATCTTATGTAAATCCAGTCGTCTTGTAAGGCACTACAGTTTAAAGGAAACAGATGGATAGAAGGGTGTGATATGCAACCAGTGGTATGTTTACAGAATGGGATGCTGAAAATAATGTAATTTTGTAACGTAAAATCGATGAAAAATGTTGCACAATGCAAAAGTAAGAAACTGAAAAAAAAAATTGGTTTTAGAATGCTTCTTTCCTAAAACATTAATGATTTAAAAAGCGTTTGTATTGTATTTCTAATTTGTTTTGACTGAAATTCGAAGAAAAAAGATTTTTCACAAGTTTTCAAATTACTGTATCTCTTTAATTATGAGTTGGATACCATTAGTATATTAAAATTTTTTGTTCCAAATTACCTCAGGAATGTCCTCCCTAAGTGGGGGTAAAACTTCGTGAATCACCCTGTAGTACTAGAATTACTCCAGTATGAAGATACACAATATATTGTGTTAAAGAACCACTTAGAAGTATCTTTATGGTGCATGATAGAAATGAATGGCCTTCACAGACATTAATAGAATAAACAGATACATAGATTCTCAGTGAATGTTTGGTGTTTCTCATTGGAGATCTGATAATTGGACCATTTATTTTAGAACAATGTTTAATACTTTGCGAACCGGTCGCCTAGGCCTAGGCGTTTGCATTTTAAACGTGGCAGACCGGTCGCCTAGATTTAGGCTTTTAGGACACGTTATGTTGCAACACACTATTCCTCGCTTTGGTGGCCAGGTGTCTGTAAAAGTATTGCGTAGCTGACCTTCGGAACGTTTGTTTTCTGAGTCAGCAACGTGACCACCCTCTATTCCCCTCTCACTCTAAAGAAAAGTCCCTTTTTCAAGTCGAAGCTTCTATGTGTGAGGCAACATATTCTCAGAGTCAACATGGCTCAGAGACGAAAGCAGTTGAAGGCTGCGCGAGCTCTCGGAGAAGAAGAAATCTGTGATTTGATCTGCGATGAGTTATCTGACTTGCCAACTGCTTCGTCTTCTGATAGGGAGGGCAGTCACAGGGGCCCCCAAAATATTGTGACAAGAAGAGAAAGTGAAAGTGACAGTGAGAGCTCTGATGAAAGTGCGAGTGCTGGCATTGTGGGGACAGCTACATGGGGTAAAGTGGACAAAACACCCACTTTGGGAAAGTTTACTGGTGATCCAGGGGTGAGACAAATACCACTGTCACTACATGTCTCAGAAGAAACGTCAGATATTTTGCTTGGTTTTCAACCGCTTTTGTCCTTGACTCATTACACTACTAACTTCCTGCCTGGTACATAAGAGCTTGAAGGGTCAGTACCATTTTCCTTTGGAGGGGGAACCCAAACAGCAAGATCAAGTTACTGCCTACTAAGCAAACATTCCAGAATAATATTACACAGTAGTCATTTCATTTGGGTGGTGCCAGAGAAAGGTATAGTGTGTTAAAATCTAATGTGTCATAAAATCATAATAATATGCCACCGGTCTGCCACGTTTTAAAGCGCTGAGCATAAAAATATGCCACTGGTCCGCAGAGTGTTAACAACAAGGAATTCCTTGATAAGATGAATAACTACCAACTGCCCAGGAATAGTCAGTCTGATGTCACTCTGAATGTCGGGTATTGTCTGAATCACAGGGGGATCTGAAGCAGTTCCTGCTAGCCACTCGAGGTGGCGGCAAGGAGGGGAACACTTCAAGAGCCGTGAGTGTTGGGGGCAAGGGTCCTCGCCCTCCACAGCTGTCAGTAACGCAGATCATCCAGCTGGCCAGTCAAGTATCTCAAGGAATGGAGCACCTCTCCAACCAGCGCTTTGTACATTGTGACCTGGCTGCCCGCAACTGCCTCATCGCTTCCAACTTGAATGTGAAAGTCTCTCTCTCAGCCCTGTCCAGAGACACATACAGCAAGGAATACTGCAAGTATCACAATGAGGTACGTAGGACAGCTCTTTTTTATAACATTTACCCATTCCCCTTTCATCAACCTGGTTGCTGTAGTGATAATGTTGCAGGCCAGTATTTCACAATTTATTTTGGCCACAGAAGACCTTCACTTGAAAAATTTTTACTGAACCCCTCACAAAATTCATACATATGAAGCTAAAAGCTGGACCACAAATAAGTAAGGATAATGAAAAACAAACTTTAACCCTTCAGCGCGGGCATTTAAATATTGCTGTTGTGGGGCCTCCTGCGGTAGTATTTTTTAATTGCCCATTTAAATTTTGCTCTAAATTATATTATGTATCATAACTTTTGAACAATATGAGGGTATAATTATGAATTTTTCACTGAAATCATCTTAAAATATGGTTTTATAATCTTACCTTATAATATGAGCGCCCTGTACCTGAGTGATGAAAGCAAGTGGATTAGAAGTTGAGTTTTGTATGGTATTTCTTGAAACATCCATCTAAACACAACCCTGCCTCACATTCACTACACCAAAAATAAATTCATTCCTTTTACCATGTTTTGCACACACAACACATCCTTTTTGAGGCTTTGCTTTTTTCCTCTGGCTGGAATACGCTCCAGGAAATGTCGTTCTGTGAGTCTTTTAGGCGGCGGCTCAACTGATGGACGGCCGTATACAGGATGAGGAAAACCAGAACCATGATTTTCCACAAGGTCTTGTACTAGTGAAAGTCTGAACTTTAGTGTGTCCATGTTTTTGTTATTCGGGAGACACCGATATATGACCATTGCATTATGTATTGCTACATTGAGTAGCCTCTTGAATAACTTCTGATACTACTTAGTACTCTTCTTTCGTTCAAGCAAGTACGGCTGTAGCATTTGATCCGTCAGATCCACTCCTAGCATGTTTCTGTTGTAATCACAAACAGCCATGGGCTTTGTTTCGTGTTTGTTTGCTTTATTCACAACCACATGCATATCATCTTTGTGGTATGTTGATATCATAGTCACCTGGCCATTGTAACTGCGAGGTCAGTGTTCTATTTAGACTGACTGGCAGAGCTGCAGGAAATTGAACGTTATGTTTACACGAACAGAGAGCGCATTCTTTTCGCAACAGCCCAGTGCAATTGTCATCATGCTGGCATGGTTCGTTCCATATTTATGGGCCTTTGAAATTAAGCTTACAGCTTGGTGTACGGTGTACGGCAAACCGCAGGTAGGACTATTTAAATACCAGCGTACTGTGTATGGCAAAACATGCTGACAAGTTAAACAGGCATGCGAAATTAGTGTGTTATTCAATTGACATATTTAGAAGTAAAAATCATATTATGTATGAAAAGTGGAGCTTCAAAACTAATGCACCACCTGTCTGCAATCTTCAATGTGAAGAGTAGTTTTTGTTTTCATAAATTTTTTTTGTGTTTCAAATTTTCAAATCTGACAGTGCATTTAGTCTTTGTTTGCATTTCATTTTTGTTGATGCACAATTTGAGAATACAGTTCTGCACAAGTATGTGCTGGTGAAGAGGACTGGCTGACAAATTATAAGTCTTCATAAAGCTTTTTCCTCTGGTGCTAAAACATACTTTACTTCGTTAATTTATTCCTTTGAAATTGACATTTCTAACTTAAAGACGTTTCAAAATGAAGATTATTTTAAATGCTGTTTATAATAATAATATTTAAATTACAATTCTTTTTAATGTTGTAGTGGAATTTTCGTACAGAACCCATATTTTTGCCTTGCAGAACCCTTAGTTTTACTTTGCAAAACCGCAGGGTTCTGTAGAAAACTGTTTAGGAAACACTTCTCTGGTTTTATGTTCAGAAAATACAAAATCTGACTGGCCAGGTTACAAGTTTATCTGACCGAGGTTGGTTGTGGTTTTTCTCAGTCTCTGTATGTGAATGCCAATGTAATACTCTTAAACAGGAAGGCCAGGATGTTTTAAATCCCTTTTACTACTCATAATTCATAATTATCTCTCCATCTCATTGAGTGCTATATAGCCTCAGCAGTTTGAAAGGCATCCTTAATTTTACTTGTCTATGGAGCAAGTATTGCCATCACTTTGTTCTCAAGTTCTACAAGGAAGACATATTTCTTCTGAGAAAATTTACTTAGGTAACAAAGATTTTATGAGAGATGTATATACTGTATAGCTGTAAACTTAAAGGACTCTGCTGTTTACATTGCATCCTTGGTTCACATACAATTTGGACACAAAGTATCAAACTTCACATACCTGTTAACAGTCATTAAGTCATCATCGTCATTGTCACCACCCCAGCCAGAGTGAAAAATCAGTTGATACTCCCTGGAGTTGCCCCATGTTGTCATTTTGCAGTTTGCATAAGAGTGGCCTTATGAAATGATTTTGTTTCAATGCTTGATCTTCGTCAAGTTGTGTATTTGTATTGACTGTTGTGTTATACTTCAATTAAGGTGAATGGTTATGTGGTGGGAAATGGAACTATTCATTCAGCTGAATATAATGCTATGCAGCCACTAATTCTCTTTATTAGCCACAGACTTGAATGCTCTCACTAGCTAGATAACCACTAGCCTTTGCTGGACTGTAGAATTTCCATCAGCGTGTCATCCCACATCCACAATCATGGCACGCATTTCTGCCACATCATATCTTCTTTCTGTGACCAATCTAAGATCCTGTCCATCCAAGTGGTCAGTTTTCTCTGATATCTTCTGTCACACAACATATCTGGATCGTATGATGAATAACAGTAACAATCCTGTCTCAGTTGACATTACCATTAAACATATTGTGGCATGACACCTGAAGGCCAGAATAATGGACCCAGAAGAAATAAAATCATGGTAATGCCTAAGTAAACAAGTATCACAGAATTGGATATACACACAACAATAGAAGAATTATTGGAAACGGTGTTTTCTATGCAGTCTGTGCCAAGGCTATATAGTGAGCATGAATGAGAAAACTTAAAAAAGTTCCTTCTTCACTAGATTTTAAGTTTGCTTTAACCAATCGATTTGAACCTCTAGCTATGCTAGAGCCTCAGACTGATGGTGACGCTATAGATCAGCCTGTGTCAGAGGCTAAGCCTAAGCGTAAGATTCTAGTGCTGGGTAGCAGTCATGGTAGGGGTATCGGGCAGAGGCTACAGAAAGCAATGGGAGATGCATATGCTGTGACCAGCATATTCAAGCCCAATGCTGATCTGAGCAATGTCACTGGGGACATTGGAAAATTGTGCAAAGGTTTTAGTAAAGAAGATCAGGTAGTTATAGTTGGGGGGCCAGGTAACAGTTTGGAGAGAAACCTCAATTATCAAATTGAGAAAGATTTAAGTGACATTGCCCAGAAAACTAGTCACACCAATGTGAGGTTTGTTGGTCTTTTCTGGCGACATGACAAGCCATGGATTAACAGGTGTGTAAGGGAGATTAATCTTCGGCTTGAGCGTT